TGACCGACCCTCATGCCCGGGGGAGAGGGAGGCAACTCCTTACGACAGCCCTGGGGAAAGAAGAGAGAGAGAGAGAGAGAGAGAGAGACAGCGCCGACTCCTCGTACAGCCGAGCCCATCTTTTCAGAATGATGGATGGGGCAGCGCTTGCGCGCGGGACGGGGGGCCTGCCCCCGCCTCAAGCCCTAAGCAAAGCAAAGCAAAGCGACAGCGAACTGAGAACTGAGACCTACAGCAAGTGTGGCAGCGGCAAATGCCAGCATGTTAAATCTCGAGCTCATGGACATGATTTGTACACAAGAGTTGGCCGATCTTTCCGACTTCAGTTAAGGATGATCAAGGATGCATGTCGCGGGCTCTTCGATAGCATTAGGATTCCACCAGCATGCTTGCCCGTTGTTGTTTGAGTGTGTTTGAAGACGCCAATCAGTCAAGGCACAACGATGACAAAAAAAAATGAAAATTAATATGATGCACCCGTGACGGTGGCAGGATGTAGCAAGCATGCATTCTGTCGTCTCTGGTACCTGCAACCCACGCTTTGTCAGCATACGCACCGACATGTTGTAGGCAGCGTCCCATCCGAAACACAGCTCATTACGCATGTGCCTGTGAAGGCTTCACTAAAGGATACTCAAGGCACGGAGAAGTCCTCAGCTTGCAGGCTTTTATCAGCATAGCGCTGCTCCACTTAAGTGTATCGCCCTCAGCTCACGGCCAATCCAGCTGGGCAGTGCCGCAAAAAGCCGTTGCGGAACATGGTTGCAGCCGCCGTGTGAGTGCGGAACGAAGCTAAGATAGTAGCACGGGATTGAAAGCCATGGTTCGGGACAAAACATCTTATGACGTTCAACTCTACACTGGAAGGTGCTGTACTCGAAGTATTCTGATTGTCGCCAGATGTGTGCAGGACTGCGGCGTTCGTAGTGAGCATGAACAAGGTCTTGCGTGCAAAGACACGAACATTGGGAATCTACCGCGCGGCTGCCTCGAAGAGCAGGCCAGGAGAGGCTGAGGAAATCTGAGGAACTTATGGCGCTTGGAAGAGTCAACCCTTTGAGGCTGCGGCAGTCCATTCTTTCCGAAGGCTTGCAGGACTGCCTGAACAGGTTAGTTCCCGATGTTGCGCATGCCGCCGACGTGACATGCAGCAGATCTTTGGTGCATCGCAGGACGACCTGCGCGAGCTGTCCTTCGTTGCAACGTTGAGAGCACTGGACGCCTCATGGTGGGACTTGCGCAAAGAGCTGGACCGGTACTTGGACACCTATGACGAGTACCTGAGGCTAAGCCCCCAGTTGTGGCAGAGTTGTAGGACAGAGAAATATTGCGAAAGAGAGACAGAAACAGAGAGAGTCGGTCGGACAGGGAAGCCTGCTTTACCTGTATGTTGCAGGAGTAGCAAGGGAAATCAGATAAAGGTAGCGAGCAAATGTTCATGACAAGTCATCGAAGCGAATTTGATGCCCACCGACATTGACGGCAACATACAGCAACAGGCCAGCCTTCCCTGTCCAGCCAAACAGCCCGGCACTCTCAGGGATGAATTCCTACTTAATTCTCGGGGGCCGGGCAGGTCTGTGAAGACTCAATGGACCTAATTAATGTACGCCTTTGATTAATAAATGGGGTGGGATTAATAAAATAATTATTCGGGCCCGTTCTGCGGATCGCCTTCTGGGAAGACTACAAGCCTGCAACCGGTCCCCGGATGCCCAAACAATTAAATGGGGTTGTAATAATAAAAATAATTATTTCCGGCGACCTATTTTTGTGGGCATGGCGAGCCTCTTCTGAGTTGAACACAAGCAAGCCCGCTTATTGATTGCTTCTCCTAAAAAGTAACGAACGTGTAGGGTTCCTTC